AGTTCAAATATCACTTTTTATTGGGGGAGAGAGTGTTTTCTTTTTTTTTGTAGATTTTTTGACAAGGGAAAGAATATAGTTCTGTAATGACATTTATTTGTTTTTATTGTAGTGTTCATTTTTCATTTCTTTTTTATACATGCATGTGCCAGGAAGAGCTAACTGTTTTCATTTTGGTCTTTATTGTATTAATTAATGAGTCCACACTAACCCTAAAAGTAGCATATGAATACTTTTTCCAGAAGGATTCAAACCAAATCTCTATATTTTTGTGGGCAGGTTTGTGAATTGACGAAGTCCTATGCTCTTCTTGAAAAAAGCCAAGGTAGCCAACCCAGAATACTGGACCAAGCTCTCCTGACTTTTGGAATATTTAAAGTAGTGATTTAGATTTTCTTTTTCAACTTAACTTCTTCAAAGAATATCTCTCTCAGATAACAGAGTGGTCCAAACTGGATTGGTTTAAGTAATCTTTCTAAGGCTATCTTGGATTTTACACTTATTTCTTAAATTGACTTATCCAAATTGGAGAATGGAGAGTCCACATCGTTTTTTACCATTAGCATAGTTGATTACAACCTCCTCAGGGTTTCATGCAATAGATCCTCTTGGGGCATCTAGTCGTGTCAAAGCAGATGTCAGGACTACTTTCTCAGGAGGATTAAGTCAGCTGGTATTCAGTAAGTGCTAGATTCTTTTGATATGGGAAACAAGAATGCTGACTGTGAATTTTCACTGGGGTACCTGCAATTTGTTTTGTTATTTGTAGCACGTAAGACATGGAATGTCAGCTTTTTCTGTAGTTACTTTTGTGTTTGTCTGTTTAATGTTAATATGACTTTGGATTTTGTTCATGATGCACACTTTGAGCAGCTGGCCAAAATTACTCATCATTAAGTGATTTTAAAACCTTCTGTTAGAGGAGGGTGGTTGGAGTAAAGGCAAACTGACCATTTTAAGTTTTATGTGAATATATATATATATATATATATATATATCAACTCCATCTCAGTTACTGTGACTCTACCTATCTTTTGTTTGTAGTGAACTTGTGCTAAATGTTGATCACACAAGCTATAGGCTGCTGTCTATATCCCTCAACAGAGGCTCACTTCCTTTTGTATAAATTTTTACTCTGTGGTTGTTTTTTCTAGGAAGTGATACAGAGGCAATTCATCTTCTTCATGTAAAGGATACAATAGTCTAATACATTTTCCTTGTGCAGGATACTATTCTTATTGTGCTACCTACAGAACACAAGAGGTGCCGTTTTGATACGAGTTCTTTATACCTGGGTACATATATTAAGTGCTTCAGTTTCCATTCATTTCCAAATGAATGGAAGTTTTTCCCATGTGGCATCAAAAAACTCTGGAAAGTTGTATGCAGTTGGAGGGTCCAATTAAAGAAGAAAAACACCTTAGACTTACTATGGTTAAAAAAAAGAATGCAACAAATATATGTGAAGAGAAGTATGTTGAAAACCTTTACCACCTATGATGAAACTGAGACAACACGTTGATAATGAGCATGTAAATGGGAAAGCAGAGATTACACTGGTGAATGCACCAGCAATTGCTGTTGCAAAGTCTTCTTATTTAAAAATAATAAAAATTTTTTAAAAAAATGCAAAAGGTTTGGGAAGGTATCTTTTCACACACTTTTCCAAAATCAAATATAGAACATTGTGATGGAAGGTTGAAAGTACTTCAGAAGTGTAACAACTGGGTAATGTAGTCTGGCATCATCAGACAATAAATTGGAGTAAACATATAGGACCATGCTGGACACAAAAATGAATGACAGTGTAGGTTGTAGATACTGGTTTAGGTAATAGCTGCTTGCTACTGCCCAGGTCCTGCATTTAGTTATCTTCAGGGTTTCAGGGTGCTGGAGAGTACCCAGTGAAATGACCAACCCTCATATTACAGGGTTCTTGTTTTTTTCTTTTCTAGTGCAAAATCCCACTCCATCAAAAAATTAAGCTGTTAAAAGGCCCTTGTCTGCTGTACATAATATGCATCTGACAGGTGAGGAAGAAATCAGTAATGGAGAAATGCATTGTGGTTCTTTTTGGTATTAGCTGTGTTTATGCAACCACATTCTCAGCCTCTCCCTTTTCTCCTGCTACCACAAGCTGATGAACACACCAGCTGGAATCAAGCAGATCACTCAGGATCAGTGGGTACTGGAAATGGGCACTGCTCCATGGAGCATGTCACCAGGCAGAGGCACCTCCATCCCTTGTCAGGGCATCCTCCTCCTCACCCCCAAGGGGCAGAGGCAGGATGGGAGCAGGGATCCGTCTTGGAGAGGATGCAATGAGGAACTGTGGTGAAGACTGGGAACAGGAGGGGACTGTTTCAGTGTCAGGTTGTATTTACGGGGCTTTTTATTATTGTTATTATTATTTGTTTATGCTTACATTTCTCATGGAATAACTGTTTTGGTTTTTAATGATATGTGAGGAGTGCTGCCAAAAATGGAAAACATTCATTTGAATTTTTAATGAAGTTGATTGTACCTCTTTTCCATTTAATTTCCATGAATATTCTACAGAATATAAAGTGAATATTCACTGGAGCAATAAATGTTATGCTAATTCTGTGGGACAAAAGTGGGAAGGGAGTTTTGAATTCATAATTGTGAGTATTCACAATGATAACCTGCTTTACACAGTACTCATCAAAAATCATGCTGCTTTTGCATTGAAGTCAGAGATTGTGTGTGTTTCTAGACTTCAGGGCATGTACACAGCTTCTGCACAATTAGTACATGAGCAATGAACCTAAAAATATACCAAGCAATAATGTGCCTTTCTGATGTTACAAATTCTAGAAGAAAAAAAAAAATAAATCTGATTGCTAAAACCAAAACGCACAGTGAGCTGTCTTGATTGTATGAAAGTTTTCATTATTTTTGAATTAATCTTATTCAGTGGAAAAATATTAGGAACTGAAATTTATTGATAGATTTTTGTTTTACTAGCAAAATATTTATTATTCACGCTTTAGTTCTTCTAACCATTACAGCTGTGGAATAGTAATTTCTTTCACCAGTAAGTCCAGCTTGAGGCCCATCATACAGCGGAAAACAAAGAGAAAAGGTAAAGGAACACAGTGGAAAAGGATGAAAGAAATATCTTCATATATAATAAGCTTCATATGCTTAATACTCAGACTTAACAGATTTAGGACAATGTTCCCGACCAAGTTAATACAAATTCAAATTAAGATTTTCTGAATATGTGTAATTATTGAGAGTATTTTTTATAAAATATATAATGATATCACTTTATTTACTCTACATTTTTGTATATAATCTTCATCCAACTGGATCTGTTTGTGTAGAACTGTTTTCCCTAGTTTTGTCCATCATTTTCCAGTTCTCCTCCTGCCTAGGTAGCCATTTATCTCTGATAACTCTCACAGAGAGATCGCTGTCTCTCTTAACTATTTGAGCTGTCTTATTGACTTGCATAATGTTATTTAAATGGGTAAGGAATAACGTTGAGAAGGCTTACTCTTTGTAAGCTCATGCTGATTTTTGCTGCTGCTTTGGATATTATGCTGGTGTGGCTTTTATTTATTTATTTATGATTTTTCAGTCCTTTGAGCAAGGGGAGGTTTTTCCATAAAATCTGTAACATGGAGCATGACAAAAAGTTTTGTGAGTTTGATTCTGCAAGTTTGTCTCTCTGGTGTTTTCCTGCTACCACTGGATTTTCAATAAGTCAGCTAGACCTATTTGCATAATGCTGTTAACAAACAGGGGTTTTATATCAGAAAACAAACTATTATCTCATAAATGACTGTTTTCTAATATGTTCTTTTTTTTTTTTTCCTATCTTTTATTTTTATAACTAAACAAAATTTTAATAATGGTAAATTTCAGTGAATCTTCAGTGACTGTTTTAAAGCTATTTTCTCTCTTAAGACATTTAGCAAAGCTTTCCCTGTGAGGCTTTTTCTGCCTAGGAGGCCTCCACAGTGTATGCAGGTATTCAGATACTTTTGCATGTGATGATCTGGGTGCTTTTAAATTTAAATGAATATTGTCTTTAATTTAATTTAGCTTAAGTCTCTTACAAGTATCATAATTTAAAATGAATAGGCCCTCTGAAATCTGTGACAAGCATCCAGAGAGGATCATTTGAGAATCTATTACGTGTATCTATTTAAATGCATTCTTTGTGATATTGAAATTTGTTCCCTTGTAGAAAGAATAAAGTGTAATATTTACAGGCTGTAAGTTTTTATTTTATTGTCAATAAAATCCCAATATATAGCCTATGATAACAGATTAACATATTGAAACTTGAGTACCAAAACAGCTTGATTGTCCTTTTTCTTCCCTTCCAATAAAAATGAAAAAAAAAAAAAAAGTAATTATTTTGTGTATATAGTTAAGTTGATTTAGCACTTAATTTTATTTGATATGTGTATGTGGCTGGAGGGCAATAATAAGGCACAGTTGATTGATACACTCCTTTCACCTTTGGAGACCTCAGTTTAGTCCTGGCATAGGTCACACAAAATTAGTTTCGATAGGCATTTTATACTCTTTAGTGCACGTTTGTCCACATCATAAAGCTATCAACCAGCATGATGCAGTTAACAGTCAATGCTGTGGACGAGCTGGTGACCAGACAGGATTTTGAAAGGCAATTTGTGTCCCTTAGCAGAATTGTGATAGGGTGGAGCCAAGCTCTTTTCTTCTGAATTTCTGGATCTCACTGGTCACCGAGTTTCTTCATTTTCATGGACAGCAAATGTAGATACTTGAAATGAATGGCTTTCCCAGGTTGCTTTCCTGAAACTTCTTATACAAGTTTTAAGGACCCAAGAGCAGTTCTAGAATGGGCAGTTCAATGCAGTCAGGAAACATCCATTTGAAACCATCTCTTGTTGTTTGTGTGATCTTTAAAGTTATGGTTGCAAAACAAATCCAATCCTAATATGAGCGGATGTTCTCAGAGGCCATGCTATTTTGTATTTCAGTGCTACATTTGCTCCCTTGGACAACCAGGTGACCCCGTCCAAGGTTAAGCATGAATCCCCGAGGAAGAGCTATGCACTATGCTCCACAACAGGAGCAACGCCTCTCTGTGACTTGAGTGAAGGTAAGAGCTTTATTATTTCACACGCTCTGTGCATGGGTTCACCACATACACCCCTCTCTTTCTCATAAACTCACTGCATGCTGAGCAGCAAAAAGGAAAAGTTAAGTGGAAACCAATAGGGATCTGTGTGCAAGAGGCACTTGTGCCACTTACACATGCAGGTGCAATAGTCTCATCAACTGCGGTACCTCTGCTTCACACCATGCCTCCTTGCATAAGGTTTTCAGGTTTAGTTCTTGGCCTTTTATTTAGCTTTTCAAGGTATGCCTGTGTTTTTGACATGATTCTGTTGTAATCATAGGAAGCAACATTGATGGATAGAAGAGGAGGAGAAAGCGAGATGCTCATCGAGCCCAGCTGATGCATATAGGTTCATTTATATCTTGTCCATAAACATACGAAGTACTAGAAGAGACCCCTGGGAAGCCAGTGACACTAATGGAAAAGTTAAGTGTGAGACTGTACAGCTGGACTTAGATGCCTTTTATTCAGAGTTGTTATTAGTTTAGACAAAGCAATCTAGAGCTGTCAGGGCTGCAACCTCTGTACTCACCTCTGTAAATTTTCATGGATTCTATCACCTTAATAACAGGAATTAAAATCTGGTTGTTTGTCTTAGAGGTGAGTCTCAATGTACTAGGTTAACTTATGATTTGAATGGAAACTATTCATTGCTGTCCTCTAATAAGTTCCCTCTTTACTTTTTTAACATCTTATCTTCTTGAAGCGGTACAAGTTGAAATATAACCAGCCAAATATATCCAGTTGACTAATAGTCATTGGTCCCATTGTCTAACTGGACTGTGTATGGCCATCAGAGGAAACAATATGAACTCCAAATAATTACTGATTTTAGATATTTTAAAGAAAGGTCAGTGCTAGCAGTGGTGAATTTTTGTTCTCCTGTCTAGTTACAGTTGCATACCAGCTGTACAATGTGATAGTTGCAACAGTTTTCCTTTAAAAGAAAGCATCCTTCACCTTGATGAGAATTGCAACCAGAAAAGGCCATTCTGATTCAGCGGTCCCAACTGTCACCTCCCTGACCTCACAAAATAGACTTTTCAGCTTTTGTATATCACCTCCTGCCTTCTCTGTACCCTCTGTGCTCTCATCACATCCTCCTTCACAGTGACATTTGATTCACTGAGCTGGATTCTGACAGAGAAATCTCATGTTAGCCTCTCTTCTTGTGAGAGTGACAAAACCTTTGTGATAGCTAAGCTTCCTTATTTGAAATTTGAAATAGTCTAGTATATACATGCTTTATGTGCGTGTGTGATTTTGCACCTCTTCGATAGGGCAGAATGCAGCTTAAGAACCATGGCATCTGTTTCATGATAATTTAAAACTCTGCTGTGGAGAAGCAAAAGTGATTTCATGTAACATTAAACAACAGCTATGTCTCTTTATCTAAGGAAACATAACTCATTCTATGATTGTGTCCCTAATTAGTAACACTTTACAAGTCTTAACCTTTCAACAGAGAGCTTGGTTCAGCTTCATCTGTACAGAACTGCCCCTCTCATGTAGCTGTGCATAATAAAAAAAATTTAAAACACATTAAAATTAAAGCAAGCAAGCAAACAAAAACACTTAAAAGCTTAGACCTAGACTTTTCCACATTTATTCATGTTGAGTAGTAATTTGCTCTGATAATAGACCCAGCGAGACCATAGTGAGATACTTTGCACTGCAAGTAAGGGAGGCAGAACATTGCTTAATAAATAAGCAGTTGTGTCCTGACGCTTTGTTCTTTTCTGGCTCAATGGTGTTCGTGTCCAGTGCATGATTTCTTCCTAGGACCTGCCTAGTTCCAACAGCCTTTTTCTGTCACCTTACATGTTCAGATGTTATTTGGCTTATTTTCTCTGATCATTTCTCATAACCTGAAGGAAGTAGTAGACATTAAAGACACATCTACAGTTTAATGGTTTAATGCAGTCTGATGTCACTGTCTAGAAAGACTTAAAATTTGCTTATTTTCCATCTGCCAGTGTAGGCATGCTTATTTTTGTAACAGATTTCTGGCATAGAAGAACAGAGTCCTTGCAAGTTGTGTGAAATCAACTCACCGATGCCTTGATCGCCCATATATTTGGGGAAACTTCCAACTTGTAGAAGAATTGGTCAGACTTGTACAGTCCTTTACTCAGACCCTTTTGCTTCTCTTACCCTTAAAACTGGCCTAAAAAAGCAGTGAGACATAAGTTTGTTTGTTTGTTTTTCTAATGTAAAACTAAGCCTTTCACATGAGTGGTTAAATTGCCAAGACCATATGTCGCAAGGCCCTAGTTCCCTCCTTCAGATGATGAAAGTCTCCTCTGCCAAAATAATTTTAAAATGTAATGAATTCTTACACAGTTAAATGTATTAAATTACAGTTTCTATCTAGTTCAGAAGGGAAAAGATGCAGTGAGACTCCAAAATAGTGTTTTGTCCCTGAGGTGGTCCTGTGTTCAGAGGAAGAACAGCTTGGAATGCAGCTCCTGTTCCTCCACACAAGCTAGAGAATTTATCCAGGGATTTCTATGGGCCCACATCTCTCCTTATTCCAAACTGAATTGCTCCCTTTGTATCCATGATACAAACCAAGTGATGAGAGCTTTACAGCTTATACTAAGAGAACTGCAATTGGTAGTACCTTAAATCTACCTTGGGTACCTTCATATATTCCCTTATGTCCACTCAGCCTCATGCAGGAAATAATGACTTTCAGTTTTAGTCAGAGAAGAAACGAAGGTAAGCCCTTATACTGGCTAACATACATTTGGTTACTTTCCTTAATATGATGAAGAAATAGTTTCCGCCTGGAAGATTTTAGGCTTTAATGAAAATTTCTTTTGCATTTAACAGAGGTTAAACTGTTCTACCAGCAGAATTTAAAAGATAATTTGTGTATACTTTCTCTTTTTTTGGGGGAAGCCAATAATGTTAGTTGCTCATTTATGTACAGGATAATATTGCAATATGCATGTTGTTATGCAGTTCGCTACCATCTGCTATGAGACTCTTTGCAGTGGAGGTGCCAACGCTATCCCAAGGCAGAAGGTAATATTTAATCTCCCAACAAATTGTCATAACCTCTGTGCTAACCGTGGTGCGTGTTCACTATCTACCTAATCAAATTCTTGCTATATATCACACTTATGCTGTGCAACATGTACCTCAGGTCTTGGGTTTAGGGGAATATATTTTCTTAAGATCAGAAAACAAAGAAGGAGCTTGACTGAAAGAGTACATCCTTGCCAAAGTTACACAATACCCAACTAGATTGATTCTCTAGTTAGTGAAGTTTGTGGTCTGCTTCTGATCTGGCCTGGGGTAGCAGTGAGTTTGGTAGGTGGTTATGAAAGGATTGTCTTGAGTTTGCTGTTGTACGAGCTGTTATGTGTTACTCCCTTCAATAACACTTCCAGAGCTGATTATTCAAGGTGAATATAGGATAGGCATCATTTGAGTGAGTTGCATTGTTTTAATTCAAGAGTAACAACACCATATTCAAGGGAGTTTTATTTCTGCAAAAAGCATGCAAACACACTGTGATCCACGTAAGAACGAGTATATGTAAACAAAGCTGTTTTCTCTTGGCATGCTTTCCAAAAACCTGAATTAATAGAGAAATCAGGTATGCAATACCAGAAGTGAGCATCCAACCAAACAAGCCCTTACTCAGGAGTGTCTTCATGCACAGGTATACAGTATATACCGCAGATAATAATTTCATAAGATTTTTTTTTCCCAACAGTCCTTTTCTATAATATTTACAAAGGTGAATGTTGTTCTCTTTGGTCTAATAAATATGAATATTTATCTTCAGCTTCCCCCTTTTTATTCCTAAAGAAATAATACATTCTTTCAGTAATTTATTTTATTTCAGCTGCTTAATAACTGAAATGATGTTAAACCTCCACATGTATTTTTTTGAAACTTTAACAGAAGAGATTAATGTAACTACACACCCTCCAAACGTCTACAGTTATTGTGAAAGCAACATTAAACAAGAAATCACTGGCAATACATTACATCAGGAATGGAATTTTTTGGGGTAGGCGGGTGTGTGGAGCAGGGATTGTGTAGAGAAAATAGGAAAGTACTTTTACAGAGCTGCCATTTCAGCAAAATCAGCTAAATTCCCTTCTATATTGTATACTACCACAGGCCCTACTATTGAACACACTCATTTTTATGCATTTGTATATTAAAGTTTTATTTTTTGCTTTTACATGTAGACCTTATGCTTTTGTAAGTGTGTTTTCCATTAGCTATCATGCATAACATTTATACTACATTTTAGATGTCAGAGATCATACCAAACTCATTTCTGTTAAAAGCCACCAATTCAGTTCCTCCTCCCTGCTACTTGACCCAGGCTCCTTTTGAACAAGTCAGCTGTAAGGGAAACAGATAATGGCGGTAATCTGGGTGTCGTAGTTCTCCTTATGTATGGCCATTGTAATACAGATATAGCAGACCAACAATGACTCATCAGTAACACTAAGCCTGCAATTTTGCTGTGTTTGCAATTTCAGAGAAGAAAAGCAGATCACAATTACATGTATTAAACTTTCAGATGATGCTGAAATTATGATGTACATCATTTATATTATCAGTCAACCTATAGGGAGAGAACATCAGGCCTTTAAGTGGCCCAGGTGCACATTTCTTATAATCTAATCAGCACAAAGCACCCTCATTTCACCAGAGAACTCTAATTCACGTTGTGAAAACCACACCGTGCCCTCTGTCCTCCCCCCACCACAGTCTGTAAATTACAGCTAACAGTTCATAACTGTTACCTGCATTTAATTTAGTGCCCTTTGCAGTGAGTTCAGCCAGCTTCACTACAAGCCAGTAATGCTATAAAGAATGCCATGAATTATCTTCATGGAGATAATGGATAGCGAAAAGAAACTGCTTAAAAATATATATATATATATGAAAAACAAACAAACAAAAAAACCACCACCAACAAAAAACAATAAAACACAACTAATAATTGGGTGTAGGCAAATGCTCCATGTGGGAAATGTGTTCACATATGATTCTCCAAGAACTTTGTCCCTCAGCTCAGAGAAGATGCATTGGTGGTGGGAGAGAGCTAGCTACCTGTCTGCCTTCCTCTTTGCTTCTTATTCTCCTTTTGTTCCCATATCTTCTTTCCCTGCTCTTTCACAGGCCAGGGATTAGGCTGATAGGAGAAACTGAACTCTCCTCTTGGCTAGATCCCACCAGCATCATCAAATTTGGAAACCTGGGAGGAGAGGGTAGGGGATAATTTGGGTTGACAACGAAGAGAGTGGGAAGTATTTGCTAGGCATAAAAATGGGAGGCAGCGCTGGGAGGAGGTTTGGGATTTTTTTTCTTTGTTTGTTAGTTCTTCTTGAAATTAGGCTATCAATGCAGACATGTGCTAATTGCTCTTGTCAGTAGATGATCCCTAAGAGGGGTGCTAGGATGGGGCAGAGGACTGCAAGGAGCCATCCATCTGAGCCTCGGCTCTGTCTTCCCCCAAATGTCCTGTGGGCTGCATCACCCCAGAAAGGTCCTGGTGACTATGTGCTCTTAGAGCTGGATGTCACCTTCTTTGTGTTACTCTTGTATTACTCAAAAAGCAT